AGGTTCTTGAACCAAGCTTGGCTAAGGGGAACAGGGTGATGGTTTTCTGTAACACTTTGAACTCTAGTCGTGCCGTGGATCACTTCCTTACTGAGAATCAGATCTCAACTGTCAATTACCATGGTGAGGTGCCAGCAGAACAAAGGTGAGGTGATGCTAGATATACTTGCTTCCTGTGTTCTGTGCATTTATCATAAATTATACCATAAATGCAGACATATGTTTATTCTGAGATCCTAACTACCTTGTAATTGTTCAGGGTTGAAAATCTAAAAAAATTTAAGAGTGATGATGGAGATTATCCAACGTTGGTCTGCACAGACCTGGCTGCTAGGGGACTGGACTTGGATGTAGATCATGTTATCATGTTTGATTTCCCTCTGAACTCTGTAAGCACCATTTATGCTTTTTATTTTTTTAGTTTTATTTAGAATACATTCTTTCCTTTGTAACTCTGACTTTTTCGAATTTCTGTCACATTTTCAGATTGACTACCTCCATCGCACTGGAAGGACTGCTCGTATGGGTGCAAAAGGTATGCTATAATTTCCAAGTGCTGTCACTTCTTCTCTTCTCATGTGACTAAAATTGCAAAATACCATTGTCTCATTTATTTATTAATAACCGAAGTGTTCCATGGTTTGTGTTAATTTGTTATGTCAGATTAATTTCATCAGTTTCTATTCCCATATATGTTTTGAGATTAGTTGGAAGCATTCTTATGAGTTTCCATATTGCCTGAAGTTACATAGTCCTTCCTCCTCCCATAAGAAAAAATGTGCTTTGTTGGATTTTTTTTAAAAGATGGTCCAAGGCTGAATGATAGTTATTCATGTAAAACCATGTCTTTGTTTTGGGCGGGAACTTGTTTAAATTTTCATGACCTTCCTAGTCTCTGAAGCTGCATAGGCTCTAATTCCTGTAGTTAATAGTATCCTGTTCCTTTTACAGGAAAAGTGACAAGTTTGGTGGCTAAAAAAGACCAGATGTTGGCTTTACGAATTGAGGAGGCCATAAGGAAGAACGAGAGCTTGGAATCTCTTACTGCAGATAATGTTCGTAGGGATGTTGCTAGAGCTCGAATAATGCAAGAGAAGGGGAAGAGTGTGAAACTAATAAAAGCCTCAAGTGAGAAAAAGAAGACTGCAATAGTGAAACCTCTTACTGTCCATAAGAAGGTTGTACCTTCCAAGTCATCAGGAAGAAAGTCCTCTGTTGTGAAATCTGTGAAAGTATCAGCTCCATCAAAATCTTCCAAGAGAATAGTTAAGGTGTCAAAATCTGCCAAGTCCCCTGCTGCCAGTAACTCAAAAAAGGCAACTTGGGGTCGAAGGAAGGAGGCAGATGGCAGAAAACCCAGTAGAGCTTCAAAACTCAGTGTTGTGGGGTTCAGAGGGAGAGCATCGTCATTGAGACAAACCTGATTTTTTCTAGTCTTTTTTTTTTCCTTTTCATCAAAATTGCATTAGAATGTCGTTTTAGATAGTTTTGTATATGAAAAACTTTTAGGGGTATTTATACTGTTCTTCCACTTCCACAACTTTCTTTGTGGAAATTATCCTGCATGGAATGGCTATTGATTTGCTATGACAATGCATGCAAATCATAGATTCATAGAGGTGTTCATTACTCCTTGTTTGTGTACATTCAAACTCACTGTATTATTTCTATCATCACACAAAAGCAAGTTAAGATAAGGGTTTTGTTAGTCCAATAGTTTCTGAAGATGGAACTTGAAACACTGAAGCAACCACAACAGTTTCTACTCAACATCATGCTTCCAAAAGCTTCATATTCTCTGTCATTACTTCCAGGTGAGCCGAGGGCAAGAGGTTTTGCTGGCGTGACAATGTTGCCTTCTGAGTTATATAGAATTACACCAGAAAAATCTGGGAGCTGACACTTGCCGCCCATGAGTATGTTCTTTTGCCAAACAGGTAGTCGCTGCTGATCACCACTGAACAAGACTTCACTGGTATCATCAGGTGGGTAACCATGGATTCCTGCACCCTGCATTATAGCTTCATTATTGTGTTGTATTACAGGATCATGGCCATAGGAACTTGAGCAGGCAACCCAACGACGCCATTTTCGTGAATGGGAAGCACACATGAACAGGGCAAAGGCACAGAGAAGAAGAGTAATAATTGCAGCTAGGCCGGCCCCAGAAATGCTAACTGGTGTTGGCGTTAACAGAAGCTGACTACGAGCCATGGAAGAAGATACTGATGGGTTTTTTGTGGCAGTGAAGGGTGGATTTTTATAGCGTCCTGTTTGGCAAATTGGGTTTGTTGAACTTCGTAGGATTTGTTATGATTGGGATTATTTTGACTTTGGTGTGTGGTTTTGGTAATCTTTGACTCAACTGCTTTAATTCTATCTAATTCAAGTTTAAATTAGAATTTATTTCCACTAATATAACAATTAAATAAGATTTTGATTCAATTTTGGAACAATTAGTTCAATTTTAATATAAAACTAATTTTATGATTTAAGTATAAATAATATTTTCCTAAATAAAAAGTGCAATAAAAAAATTAAATTAAATGGACCGTAAAAATAAAAAAGCCCAATTTACATGGGCCTACGAAAAAGCCCATTTTTCTGTTAGGCAGCAGCGGCATGCGTCTGCCATGGAGCTTGAGCTGCTTGTCCCTCCGTTCATCCTTGTTAGGGTTTTCATCTACCAACTCTCTGTCACTCTGATATCTGATCTGCTTCAATTTGCCAGCTTTTGTTCCAATATCAGCTAACCGGTTCTGTGAAAAGCTTTTAAAGAATCGAAAGAAAGAAGAATTGAACAGAAAATGCAGCAGCGCTCGCAAATTACTCTCTGCAAGTTGCTCTTGGGATACTCTTTTCGATCTTCTTCAAAACCCTCTTCGGGTCTTTCACGAAGCTCGCTTTTGCAGGTTCCAGCTCGACTTGGTCCCAATTCGGCGTTTCCATCTCCGCAAACAAGTTTTCTCCGTACACCTATCTCAAATCCCCAAGTTGTCCCCAACCTAATTCTCTCAAACTTGCAAACCTACCTCACTGGCTGCCAAATTAAGGTCAAATACAGCACTGGGTCTTGTGGTGGCTGGGTGGCCGAGTTGGACGTGAACAAGGAAGTGGACATGATCAACCTCAAGTTTGTAGAGGCAAGAGAGGAGATAGAAATGGCAATGGAATCGAAAGAGACTGTGTATTTCAATGAAGAAGCTGAATGTGCCAGAGCTGCAGTGAAGGAAGTTGTGGAGTTGTTTGAGGGGCTTCTTGGGAAGTTACCAGAGAGCGAAAAGACAGCGATACAGCGGTCAATGGGACTCAAGATTGAGCAACTAAAGGCTGAGCTTCAACAATTGGATGATTGATGAGGTTGGTGAAGGTTATGATCAAAGTTTTCATATACTGTTTTTCTTTTTGGTTTTGATTTTTCTCACTAATGATTAAGAGTTTGTTTCCTGTAATCAACCATTGATAATAGTGAAGGAGAGATAAACTTCAACCGATTGTTATTTGCATTCAGTAAACAATGATAACAGTGTTGCTTAACGGAGGAGATCGTCACTGTAAAAATGTTCCTTGAAATCTTTGATGGTTTATCTATGATTAGCTTATGTTTGGAGCAAATCCTGAATGTTCATGGAGTTTATTTGGAAATTTATCTTTACTTTTAATTGAAAGAGATGAGAATCTTATTAAAAGATCTTACAAAATGCGTTCATATGAAATTTCATCCAGATGGTCTTCCACAGGTATTCAAATGAAACGTTAGAGTTAACTATTATAACTTGAAGTTTCAGTTTCTTGATAATCTGATTTTGACTGCTTATACTTTTCATTACTTGTTTATAGCATCAAGACTATTTCTTTATCTCTTTACCTTCATCGATACTCTTTCATCAGATCACTAGCTTTTCATCCTTCTCCAAAATGAGACAAAACAGATTAAACGGACTCTAGTTCCTGTTGCATTATAGTATTTGTCACTTCAATTTCGTAAATAGCCTTATGTTATATTGATTCTCACCAGAAAGTTATCGGATAATCAACGTCCTAGTTGAAACATTCTAGCTGAACAATTCTCTGTCTCTCATGGGCATGGCTTGTTCCTTTCTGAATATACATAGATTCCAATCCTGAAGCGTTTAGAGTCTTTTTGCAACAATAAGTTTTGTGGTTGGCAGGATATTTGTTTGGTGCCTTTTTGAAACTACATTACTTCTATCAAGGACAAGTGGTTGCACTTTTTTGGTTCCATTGTTTTTGGTCATAACCTTGTCTCTTTTGATGATCTGGGTTATATTGTTAATATTTTTACGGACCTGTAAATTCTTTTAGTACACCGGTTCGTCCCCTTGGCGTCTCTTTAATATGTTGTCTTACTTTTATCTTAAAAAAAAGGATATTTGTTTGAGTGAACTTTTGGTTTAGGTTCTTTTTCTATAAAGACCTTCTTTGGTTACAAAAACGTAAAATTGAATCACCGTTGAATCATCGGTGTATTTGTTTCTATTATTATAATTATTATTGTTCTTATTAATTTAGGGAACTATTGACTAGGAGCATACAAATCTTAGTTTGTACCTGGGATTGAGTGCTTTTGAAGCTTCTCACTGTTCAGGCTGGCCAACTGTAAGACGACTTGCCTGGGTTAACAATAGAAGCTACTGATCTTGTTTAATTAAAAAAACAATCTTTTTCTTTAATTTGATACAAACTTGTAGTCCTTTAGATTAGATGAATAACCACAAGTGCAAACTAACATTTTGATACTCTATGCTTTGAATTTAAATGCCTATCATTTCTTCACATTCATTACCTATAAAGATATTTCACATTTTAGTATATATATTTTAGTTTTTAGTTGTTTTACATAAAAGTATTAATTCTTTTGCTTCTTTTCTAACAACATTTGATTTTTTTTCTTAATATCATTGTCTTATACTTGAATTTTCACGACTATATTTTATAAGAAAAGAGATTCATAAATATCCTCTAAAAAAACTATCATTAAGTGATAGATACTAAGTTGTTGGTAAACAACTATAAATATTGAGTGAAAAAAAAATAACTATAGAAAGTGAAATTGTAATTTACTTTAAACTAATAATGTCCAGGATATATAACTTCCCTAAAGGAAATTTCCTCTAAATTTTTTAGCTATAACCTAATTATCTTCCTCGGTTTTGTGAGCAAACCTGCACAAATGGACTTACAATCATACTTTCTGCGTAAACAATGTATGTATCCAGTAACTTCATATCAGACAATGCCGGGTATTTTACATGTGTAAATGTATAACAAGAGTATCTTTATATATGAATTATGTAAGAAGAAAAAAACAAAGAGACAAGAAACAAGTCGGCTGCTATGTAAGTAGAAGGGAAAGAGAAGTTGAAGGGGGATGTGAGCAGTGTTTGCCATCAATGAATGTTGGTTTGTTTCACATGTGGTGCTGCAATAAGGTACTGCAACATGGTGTTTTCCGATATTCGAAGTCATGTGGACCTATCACAATATCTCAAATGATTTTCGGAGAGAGAGCTTTTGATTCTTATAAACAAACAAAATGGAAAAACATGATGTTGAGATCACGAGCAAATAAATTAAGCTGCATGGCAAAGCAAGAACATGAAGGGAACATGGCATGGCTTCTTCTGATGCAAACTGAGGTAAGTCTTGACTTGTATTTCCCGAGTTTTTAATTCTCCTTTGCTCTGTTTTGTACTTGTGAACTTAATATCTTGGTCATTGCTGTTTGAGAATGTATTAGGTTTCAAATCAGTCCAGATTCAGACATGAAGGCAGCTAATTTGAGAATAGAAACAAACCCAGGAAACATTTTCGGAAAACACTACTGGCGAGGAATATGAGGTTCAAGATTGTTGTTAGCTATTTTTTGAATGAACATTGAATCTGAGACTGACAATCCCAGAAATAATTCAACATAAAAAGAAAGCTGAATGTACTAATCAGGAGTTTTATATGCTTTCTTTGTTATGCATTTTATGCAGAGTAGGTTTAAGAACATTGAATTTGGGTGTTGATAATGATGATAAAACAAATAATTTTATATACTTATGCAACAAAATCTTAAAAGTTTGAAGTGTGATAAAGCCAAATTGGAAAAAATGAAATTGTGATTTGTCCTAATAATAGTAGTAATATTATTGTTGTTGTTATTGATTGGAGAAGATAAGAACATGGGGATGATGGTTCCTGTTAGCATTTATGAGTTGCTGATTATTTCTTTTTGACTAATATCACCTAAGTGTTACAGAAATGGAGCATGGAGCAGGAGAAGGTAGACTACTGAGACAGGGGGACAATGTCCTTTCTCTTAAGTCGTGGAGAAGAGGGAAGCATGGGTCTGCTCATGCTTGTCTGTCTTTATATTGTAATATATTTCATGGAAGAGTTCCTTTTGTCCTCCTTTCCTTTCCATTATGGCTTAACTTTGGGCCATGCATTATCTGATGATCCTAATTGGTCTTTTTTCATGTGGATATGTATGCACATACATGTATATACATGTGTATATGCATTAAGCCAAAAGTTAACAAATTCTGGTCTTTACTCAAAACACTGTTAGAAATATGTCTCAGCAATCAATCAAATGTGTTTGCAATCTGCTTAAATTCAATTCAGATTCAATCTAAATCAAACTTCGGCTGAAGAAATTTGATTAAGATTCAATCTAAATCGAAATTCGATCAAATATTGTTGAGTTTCGTAGAGATTAAGCCAAGAAGAATTATGTAGAACATAAGGCAAGCAGGCATGTAGCAAATCAACAAGATTAATGTTCCTAAGACTGTACAGAAGCTTCCTATAACTTCTCATAGTAGTACTATTTTTTCTGGGGGGAAGAGCTCTTTGGTAGGAAGAGGAGCTGAAGAAAACTAAAATCAGCAAAAAAGAAAATCAAGTTTCAATTTTGATTTGATGACTGCTTTATTAGAGGTTGAGAGGTCTTTCCCCACTCTTCTGGTGTACTCTTCACCTCCATTAATAAGGCAACCACTTCTTTCATTGTAGGCCTTTCTGCAGGAGAAGAATTAACACAGAACATTGCAATTCCCAGTGTCTGAAGCATCTCTTGTACCATTTGATCTGGTAATCCTTGAAGCTTTGTATCGAGTATTGACACAGCTGGTTCGAAACTTCCCATCTTCCTCTTCACCCACTCAACTATGTGAAGTCCGTCACCCACCTGGGGTTCAACTGCACTGCGCCCACTTAGTATTTCCAGCAGTACAACTCCATAACTGTAAACATCACTCTTCTCTGTTATGTTCATCATGTATCCGTACTCTGCAATGATAACAGGTGTTCTTCAGATTCAAATCAAAACTTCAAGACAGAGATCAGACCTCAAATTTCAAATATATTAATAGTACAAGAAAACTATTAGATGGCTGGGGAATCTTGATTATGTATTCATATATCTATATATATATATGTGACCAAGAAAAAAGCCTAACTAACAAGAAAGGTAAACCAAGCAAGCATCCGCAAATAGATTTATAAGAGGTTATGTCTGAAAAGGATACTTGCCTGGGGCAATGTAACCGCAAGACCCAGCTACTCTTGAAATGGCATGGTGATAGGTCGGAGAGTTCATCAACTTTGCCAATCCAAAATCTGCAAGATAGGCCTCATACTTGGAATCGAGGAGTATATTATTGCACTTGACATCTCTGTGAAGAATGGCAGGCAGACAATCATGGTGAAGATAAGCAAGACCTTGAGCTGATCCTACTGCAATCTTATACCTAGTTTCCCAATCCAAATTCCTATTTCCTTGCAACAGCTGTTGCAGATTACCATTTGAAATGTAGTTGTATAAAAGGAGCTTAACACTCTTATTGGAACAATAACCTAAGAGCTTCACAATGTTCCGATGTCGAATATGTCCAAGAATTTGAATTTCTGCTGCAAATGAATCAACCGGTTCCTCATCTCTCTTTGTTTTCCAGAGCTTTTTAACTGCTATCAACTCTCCATTGGACATTTCTGCCCTGTAAACAACTCCGGAACAGCCTTTCCCTATCACATTCTCATCTTTCAGACATTCCAAGATGTTGTCAATGGTGAAGTTGACCTTTTGAAATGGAATGAAAGTCCACGGATAGGAGAAATCTTCAGCACCCGGCAAAGATGAAGATGTTCCTGAAGATTTTTCCACTATATACCTATGGTTTCGCAAAATTACAAGCCATGAAGCTAGAACTGCTGCAGTCACTGAAGCCAGAATGATAGAAACTAATGCTATAGTCTTGGCAGATTTTAGTCCATTCTTTCTGGTAAGATGGGAAGAACAAGTATTCCCATCAACGGATTGACAAAGCTTAGGGTTCTGAAGAAAAGAATTAGAGGAAACGGTTCTAAAGAAAGGTGTTACCGGGATTGGACCTGAGAAATTGTTATATGATATATTAAGAGAAGTTAGACTAGCAAGGGAACCCAGAACTTTGATTTTCCCATATAACATGTTATGAGAAAGATCAATAGACTGCAACTGTGTCAAACGAGACATGGTCTCTGGGATTTCTCCTGTAAGCATATTGGAACTCAAGTCCAAACTGATTGTCAAGCTTGTCACATAGCCAATCTCAGGTGGGATTGGACCAGTGAGGCTGTTAAAACTCAAATCAAGCAGAGTTAACTTCTGCAAGTTTCGAATTGATTTCGGGATTGAACCAGTTAGCAGATTGTTGTTAAGTATGAGCTTGTTCAAGTAACTGAAGTTACCAAAACTCCAAGGGATTTCGCCAGTGAAGCTGTTTCGGCTGAGATCAAGCTGCTCCAAATTCACAAGCTCCCCTAACTGAGAGGGTATTTCTCCAGTAATGTAGTTGTTGTGTACGTCCAATAACTCAAGAACTGTAATGTTAGCAATCTCAGATGGAAGAGCACCAGAGAAATGATTCATGTACAAGTCTAGGAAGACTAGGTTCTGCAATTGGCCTATCTCCTTTGGTATTTGCCCAGAAAGTTGGTTCTCTCCCAGCCTTAATCTCACTAATGACTGACATTTAGCTACACTTCTCGGCAACCCGCCTGAAAATGAATTCCCAAGAAGAAGAAGTTTGCTTAGCTTGGATAAACTGAAGATTTCTTCTGGGATTGAACCTGTAAGCTTGTTCCTTGAAAGGTCAAGCGCATATAGTTCTGTGCAGTTGCCAAAAGAGGATGGTATTGTCCCGGAAACTAAGTTGCCCCATAAGAAGAAACTCTGCAGGTATTTTAAGTTCCCAACCTGCCATGGAATCGTGCCAGATAATTGATTCTTGTCGAGCTGAAGAGTTGTCAAACTTGAGCAGTTGCTCAACTGCCATGGAATTGACCCGGTTAGTGAATTGTCTGAAAGATGAAGCTGCTCGAGAACGAGAAGATTCCCCAGATCACCAGGTATCTCACCAGAAAGATCATTAGCAGAGGCGTCAAACACAACAAGGGAAGAACAATTAGAGATTTCAGCTGGTATTGGTCCAGACAATGCGTTGCCCCATAGAAGCAAGCTCGTGAGCTTTTGCAGCTTGCCCAATTCAGAAGGCATTGAACCAGTGAGCTTGTTCATGTGCAGATACACGTTCCTCAACTCTGACAAATGCCCAAGTTCAGGCGGTATTGACCCAGATATGTCAGTATCGTAAAGAGACAGTGTTTGGAGATTTACCAAGTTCCCAAACGTAGGTGGTATGGCACCAGAGAGGCTGGTGGCTGCTGCCCCAAAAGTGGTCAGATTGGTGAGAAGTCCTAGTTGTGGAGGGATTTCTCCCGTTAGAAAAGGATTTCCCCCAACTCTAAACTGTTGAAGAGATATCAAAGAACCCAGCTGAGAAGGTATTGAACCATTGAGAAGATTGTCTTGTAGGCAAAGGACTTGCAGAGAGGTAAGGTTAACAAGTTGCTGAGGGATTTTACCAGACAACCTATTTGAATTTAGAAAGAGGAACTGGAGTGAAGAGAGCTGGCCAAGCTCTGGAGGGATGGGACCTGAGAGAGAGTTAGAGGAGAGGTCTAAAAGCCTGAGGTGAGTAAGTTGGCCGTATGAAGGAGGTATTGTGCCAGAGATATTGGTGGAAGAAAGATTAAGGAGTTGCAGAGAAGAAAGAGAGGAGACTTGTAAGGGTAAAGAGGAAAGATTGAGAAATGTGTTGGGAAGAGAGAGGGAGATTACTCTGCTTTGTGAAGAGCATGTAATGCCTTGCCAGGAACAAGGGTTTGGGCTTGATGGGTTCCATGAGGAGAGTACTGACGAGGATGATTTTGCAGATGGGTCAGCTGCAGAGAGAAGAGACAAAAGAGCCTGTCCATCAGGAGAAAGAGAGGAGACAAACAGTACTGCATTCTTCATGATTAGGCCAAAAAACACAAGGAACAACAAGAAGGAAAGATGAAATTTCCTATTTACGAAATGGATAGTACTGGTTTTCTCCATTTGAGACCTGTAAAATAGCTCAAATTGATTGAGAGAATAGAAGAGATTCCTTGGTCTAGTGACGGTCTAGGCCAAGTTGGTGGTGGTAATGGCGTCTACAGTACTGAAAGTCCACTCTAGGAGACAACATGCATGTGACACAAGAAGCTTTCTTTACCTACAGCTTACTTACATTTCACGCACTAAAAGCCTTGAACCGCCATTGATGCATGTGAACCAAAGCCAAAAAGGTTTAGAATTTAAATGCCATAAATCTCTAGAGAAGATCATCAAGATCCTGTTGAATAAACAGTCAAACTAACGGTGAAGCCATAACCTCACAAACTTAGTCAGTGCATATTCCCTGAGCAGCAGCCATGTAAACGCAAACCTTGGTGCTTCTTCAACGGCCACAAAAAGACTGCTTGCCGGTGGCGGTGGCGGCTGAGCTTTTAAGCAGTTTTAATGGCGAAACTCTGTGTTTCCCATCTGTTCTTTGGAGAGTCCAGAGCCATTTTATGCAGGAGTTGCCATGGAAATTATTTTATGGTTTGTTTTGTTTTTGTAAGAATCCATTTTAGCTCGGTTTAACCTTAAAAATCAATCCAGCCAGTAACCAATGTAGCTGACATGTTTTAATTTGGAAAGGATACTGTTGACCATTTCCACACCACCTGGAGCCACATATGTGGGTCCCACCCTGCTGACGTGGCAAAATACTAGGCGTTAGCAATCACAGTTTCCATATAATCCAACAGTGAGTGTTACAAAAGGGTAGTTTGGTAATTGTGTGGTGTATGGGGAATAGATAACTTTGATGACAATGGAAGTTGAGGCAGCTTAGGAGATTGTGAAAGGCTCAAAAATATTAAATACTAAAAGGGTAAATTTTAGAGAGATAAAAAACCAATTTCAGAAAAATGTCTTTTATGGTTAAAATTATATGGGAATGGGTGTAAGTAAACCCTTTCGACATTAGAGATGTAAGGTTAAAAGTGTCATTTCACAAACCAATTAAAAAAGTAAAAAGTAAAAATTGAATTGGGTGAGGTTAAGGTGATTTTGGTTACCGAGAAAGAGGTGGTGGGTTGGTTTTGGGACTGGAGCAAAAGATAGATTATGTAGAGAAGGTCACATGAGATCAATATGTAAATCTTAATTTTAGCACACCTCCCAATTAGGGTTTTATTAGGGTTTTAGTTAAATATATATATATATATATATATATCTAAAACTTGATTTTCTCATCATATCTAACTTTATATGTATATACATATGTACATATGTATGTACATAAACCCTAAATAGTGTAGTGTAAAAATAATAGTAATAGTAAATTTGGGTGTGAAGTTAGTTGTTTTTGTTTTTATTTTTTATTTTCCGAAAGTCAATGTTACATGTTTTATGGTGGGATTCTACATGATGCTTGACAAAAGCTATATATACATATATATAGATATATGTATGTATGTGTGTGTGTGTGTGTCTATGTATGAAGTATATGTATATATATGTGTGCATGTAGGTCCCAATGGGAGATCCTTTTTGACATCAATTTTAGAGAGTAGTGACTTCTAAGCTAAGTTTTACATGACATTTGTGACATTAATTTGTTTAAGATGTTGAATTAAACATTTGGATTATCATAATTAATTTGCAATACTTATAAGCAATGACGCATACATATACATATATATATATATATATATATAAATATAAATATTATATGCTATGCATGAATTATGGAGTTTCCCCATGAAAGGGTGAAGACTCATATTATAAAGATTAAAAGTATTACGTTAAATGAACCAGCGCCGCTACATGATCATATTATTATCATCATCATCATCGTATTAATTATATAATTATAAATTTTAATTGTTTATTAGTGATAATAATGTTATTAACTTTTCTAATTATAATTAATTACTTTTTATTATATTTAGTTTTTTAAACAATTAATTTAATTTTTTTATTGATAATAAAATGCTTTGACCACTTGAATTTGATTATTTTAAATAATAATATTATTATTAAATTAAAAACATTATATTTAAATTTTAGAGAAATTAAAATATTTGACACAAGTATATAGGTGGGTTAGATTCTAAGTACTATAACTCAAAAGTTATATATATATATATATACATATATATAATTTTTTTTTCTTATAGAAAGGCTATAGATATAACTATAGGGAACATGGGTTTCTTTTTAATCAAGTTTCTGGTTTAAAAAAAAAAAAAGATTAAAATTATATCTCAATATATATAGATATATATATATATATATATCTTTCAGCACAAGATAGCATTACCTGTAATTGCTTGTTGGGTGAACAACCTAATTTCAACCATTATACCATATATATAGAGATATATAAGCCATATACGATTGTAACATAGTGATCTGTACATGAGTTTATTCTTGTAAATGAAATTATAAGTATATATGAATATAAATATTCATATATACTGTAATTAGTATTAAAATAATAGGGTGGCTCTTTATACACCTTCCTTAGGTTCTTTATGTCATCAGTAGTTTCATGGAGCCCCAAACCTATTTGATTAGGGTGCCACCTTAATCTCTTGGACTTTATGTATCTCCATACATTAACAATAATTAGTGACACTAATACAAAAATTAAATTAAATTAATTAATTAACTAATTAAAAAAGAAAAAGAAAAATAAGAAACAGGAAAATGTTGCAGTTGACAATAATTATGAAGGAAATTAAAAGACATCATAACAGGAATCCTGCTTTTATGTCACAACAACTGAAATTCTTTTGAAGCTAACAATGGAATCTATATATATATATATATATATATATATATATGACACTAAATCATTCTTTTCTTGGGCCCCATTGATTTTCTTCTAGAACAAATGGGATAGGCCTACTTCACTTATAAAATGGCAAGTGCATAGATATAGGATCTTGTTATAGGATTTATATGTGGACATTCAAGCTGCAGTGCAGAAAAGAAAAAGAAGTTGAATCTTCTCAAACTAATTGAAAAGAGTGAATGAAAGAAAAAATCCCATCATATAAACATCTCTAAGTATATATCAGGTTTGTATTAACAGATAATACAAGTAGTACATCAACAAATGGTCAGAAATCAAGTTATCCTTTCCTAAAGAGCACAGTAGCATACTTGAGGACAAGAAATTCATTTCTGCATACAGAAAGTTACATGAGAGATCATTTCCAGGCTCTAATCATCCAGCAAACCTCCCACTTTCATCCAAAATCTGACCAGAAATGCTGTTGCAGATCACGAAATTCAATCACAGTTAAAGAGTCTGATGGCCTAGTGAGAGGTTCTTTTCTGCTTTTCACACTAGGCTCAAAGAGGGGAGCTGAATCATCCTCCTTCCAATTGAATATTACATCGAGCTGACGTACAATCAACTTAAATGTAAGGAATCAGCTTGAATCATCACCCATGTCGAATTTGAACCATTTCCAGTTAGCATAAAGACTTTCTTCGTTATCAGACGGCAGAGCATTTGTTGTAGGGGTTTCTAACTTGTGGCTTGGTAACACAGCAGGTAGTTTCTGTCTGTATTTCTTCGCTATCTCTTCAGCTTCAGCAAATACTCTCTGTTAAGCGGACGTAAATTTTATCAATTACGATCTTCACGTAACTAAATTTATGACCACAACAAGATATTTCTTAAAAGAAAAAGAACAAGAGAATCTCCCACCTCTTTGTCTGATACAAATAGGCCTGGCTTACTTTCAAGATCAGCAACGCTGCAGGCAACATAGGGAAAATTGTTATTGGAAATCCCAATGGTGCCAATATTCAGCTGCAGCAGGAAGTTCAAGAGAGAAACAACTCGATCATATCATGATGTATAAAATATAAAAACCCAACCAGCAACAATGAAATGACTACGTGCCATCGGTTAAAAAGTCCACATCTAATCTGCCTCCAAGCCTAATTAACTCTGCGTCAAACAACATTATTCCTTATCATTCCATCCTAAGGCAAGAAAAGCCATGTCATAACAAAACCATCAACCGATTGAACCATGTAGAGATGATTTCATCAGAAATGATTGTTGCAGTTCTTTCTTAAATATGTACAAATGTGAAAGAGCATATCAATTGAAGATGCAGCACTGCAAATTACCTGAGAGATATTTTGCCAGGAAACATTGACTTCACAACTAGAACTTTAACCTTCTCGTCCACTTTCAGTAAATCGCTGACAGAAGTAATCCTGGTACGACTTATATTGGAGATATGCAGCAATCCACTGAAAGTATCAAGGAAAGCAGAAAAAAGATTAAATGATTGTTCACTATTTTTGTTAAAGCGAATCAAGCTTGTTCCACATACACATGCAATAACATAAAATGTTTCTAAACCACCAAAAGTCCAACTGTAGAAAGCCTAGTTTCACATATCCATTTTGACAAACAAGAGTGCTTGAGAAACCATAAAAAGTTCCTCTCCTTTTTCCATTTCCAGGCTAAAGGGGCTTTTATAATATATACCCTACTTACACTGAAGTCAAAAAAATAAATATCACCATCCTTCGTAGGCTGGGAAGCAATGAGCCAAAGGCTTGTTGCTAACAAAGTTTTGATAGGAATGACATTTGCTTTGTTCTTTATATTTCCTATCAAATTGAACTTGAATTAGAAACTAAGAATTCCAATAAAAGCAAAGGATGATGATCAGAACATGTATAAATTATTGCAACTAGGCAGCCATAGTACTCTCTCCCAGTGAAGTAACAACAGCAATAGCCTCTCTCATTGATAAAAAACTCCATGCTCTAAGAAAAGTTTTTAGGTGAAAGTGTATGCTTATGCATGAGTTTCCAGCTCAAATTGTGAAATTACGGTCTTTTGTTTGCTCACTACCTCTCTTTCTCTATTATTGTTTCCTTATCCTTTCTTCAAATATTTATTCTCTTAATCCTGAGAAGTAATACTTAAAAATTTTTTGCACCAAAGTATACCAAATTTCCTTCTACTTTCTCTTCCTTCTCTGATGAATCCACACACGTGGGTGCATGACAAGTTGTCTACTCAAAGAAGCATCTGTACTGACCTTCTGTTAGTTTCACCAATTCTTATTTGAGCACCATATGGAAAAATTTTCTTTACAGTTCCTTCCAAGAGGGTTCCCTCTCGAAGGTGAAGCATTTCCTGCAATATTGCAAAAAATGTCAGCATCCTTGTTCCCTTCCCCCAGTTCCATTTTTATCATTCAGAAAAGGGGGGAAAATAGGACTTAAAGAAAGTAGTAAGATAATGCTCCAGAAAACCAACCCAAGCATCCTTCTCACTCAATATCAAGTCGTTATTAGTCTCATTTATTCGAG